ATGTCGGGTTACACGCACTGGGTGTTGGGAGCAACGAACAACAACAACTGGTAAATCGTAACCCCCACCCCCTCCCCCTCCCTCTATCCATCCGTCTCTGCACAGTTTATCTAACCATCAACTAACCATCAACTAACCACCAAGTAAACCACTTCTCCTTCCCCCTTCCGCCCGCCCGGCGTTGTACCTGGACGTTCCTGGACGCGTCGGCCCCACCCAGTGTGTTTGCCGGCACGTTTTACGAGCAGGCGCCTAAGAGGCCCGCCCCCGCCACCTCAGCATGCGCCACCTCACCGTCGTAGGTGGGGTGCAGGAGGGTGTATGTATGTATGTATGTGTATCTGGGGGCCCGCGGCCGCTGCTTTGTCCCGTGGGTAAGGGTTTCTTGTCGTCATTTGAGGGGTGAATGTGTTTGCATTACCACCACCACCACCATCACCACCATCACCACCACCACCGCCACCACTACCACCACCACTACCAATGTGATCATTGTATTGCACCACCCGCACCCGCACCCGCACCAGGTCCCCCCGGCAGTGGCTCGCACTGGGCAACCCCGCCCAGCGGCGTGTTCAGACCAGCGGTGTACGGCAGGAGTAGCAACGCTCGGCGACCACCTCACACCCCGACGATGAAGGGGCCTTATGGGTGCGAGGGGAGGGTGCGGGTGAGGTGTGAGTGTATAGCAGCATTGTAGTCTCTGATAGCACTGTAAGTACAATATTATGGTTAGGGGGAAGTGGGGACTGGCCGGATTGCTTGCTGTACGGATGCCGTACATGTGCTTTTGGACAATGTCGTATTTGATGCTTATTACCTGCTTGTCGCCGTGTCCTTCTCCTCCTTGATCACCATCACCACTCGGTGTGGTCGTTTGTTACATACATACATACCTACATACCTACATACGTTTCTGATCGCCTCCTGGGTGTGTGGATACGTAGGTACGATTGTAGGTAATTTACAGACACACATACATACACACGTACACAAACATACACAAACACACACGATTTTACTCAATAAACGCGCGGATGCGGGGGTGTGTATGGAGGCGGCTCTGCGTGGTGCTTTCCGTGCCCGCTGTGGGGGTGGGGGGAGAGAAAGTGGGGGGTAAAACTCTTCCGGTTGTCACACCCTTTGTTTTCCCCAACCCCTTGCTTGTGCCGTACAATAACGCAGAGCCGCAGCCGCAGCCGATCACTGGTGGAAAATCATCACGCGGCTTTTCCGCGTCAGGTTTGGTGGTACACACTTGTCTGGACGAGCAATCGACGAGCAATCGAAATTCTCGCGATGTTGGAGTACTCAGCCATCGTCTTCGTCGACACTTGGACGATCAACCGACTGGCTTTCCGGCTAACCAGTTTGCTGATCCATGAAGTAAGAGCTGCCGCGGGAAAATCGGTTGCCATTTGCCCGTGGTTCATTTGTGATATTTAGAGCGATCGGTAAAAAAACGGCCTAACCAAATCTTGCACAACATTACTGTCTCTTTTTATGGTTCTAACTTTCCGAAGCTCTTTGTGGTTTTAAACGATGCGCGTGACTCGGATACAATGCTGGTAGTTGTTCGTTGTTGGTTTGTTGGTTTATGGGTTTATGATTTGTTAGTTGTGCTAGTATTTATTCGAATGTGTTGTCCCCCTTGGGGTTGAGGGGGAATAAAAATGCAAAGAGCACACATAGAAGGATGGGAGTGGGAAGGGGGGAGGGAGGGAGGAGAGGGGGGGAGGGAAGGAGGTGTAGACGCTGGGTTTCAGGATTTTGGGGGGAACTGCCCCCTCATCCGCCGGTCCCCTTTTTGTCGCCGTACACGGCTTGCAGTACAATGTGACGGTTGCTCTCTTATTCTCGGAACGAAACGGTGATCGGGTTACAAATCCAGCTGAGGAGACAGCGTGACAAGACAGATGAATTGGTACTATTCGCAGCAAAAAAAGGTGGGTAGAAAGCCAAAGCCAGGCTGCGTGCGTTTGCGGGTGCTGTTTTTCGGCAAAGGCATTCGGAACCGAATCCTAATCACAATCATGCAAGAGCAGTAACAACCACTGCTTTGTCAAAAAACTCTTACTTCGCGACTTCTTTCTTGGTCGGTCCTGAGCTGAAAGGCCTTATGCAGACAGACATGTACAGCATTGGCAAACAGCAGCATTAGCATCCTGCTGCTGCTGCTGCTGCTGCCGCCGTTAGAAGCCGCCCTGTGTATACAGCAAAACAAGTAATGCAGCCATCATGGCGTCGCATCGTAGCTCGCTGGTTCGCTGATAATTCGAGGATCAACAAATCTTCAGACATGGCTACAGAGGCCATAGCATCAATCTCCCCCGGGGTGCCCTGGTCTGTTCTGGGGGATCCTTGCAGCTCTCTCATCCATGTTTGTTTTGTCGGGTGGAGCTGCATATCGTACAGTGCCGTACGTATGAACGTATCAATTCATTGCGGACGTACGTTTGTGTGCTCACCTTCGTTATCCTGGGACGGGGGGAGGTCATGTTGGTGGGGTTGGTGTTTTTTTATAAAGTAATTTCCAATTGAAACACGGTCGACTTTGTACTTTGTACCCGGTGGACTTATTCCCCATTAGTGACTGCCGTACGGTAGCATAGGCCTGGAAGACATGTATGTTTGTATATTTCGTGTGCGTGAGTATGGAAGACGAACAAAGGCCCATTGTTCTTGTTTTCAACAGTTCCACAGACTTCAGTCGTATCGGTCAGCAATGGCTGTAATTCACCGGTCAAACGTCATCACCGGTTGTGGCAGTTGCGGCTCAGCTACCACCCGTTGGGTGGCTGGGGCATCCACCTCGGGGCTCGAGTACTTGTACGACAATCTTTTTGCGTCTAACTGCCGAAGAACCGCTTACGGACCACTTTGCTGCCGCATATTTGTCGTTTTGGAATTCCGGTCATAATTACTTTTTCATGGCCCGCGCTTTGTGAAGGGCCGTTTAGCCATCGAGATGTTTAAAACATCGCAAACTGACGGATGCTTTTGACAACCTTAACGGTAGGGCCATACCGTTTGGATGACCGGTTTACTAACGTCCGCCCAACAACCGCCAACGAACAACGGTTTGGATAACGAATTCTGCCTTACGGCAACGAATGCCGCTGCGAAATGTGAATATCTCCACCACACCGCCATGACCGCCCGCGGCAGTGGCAGAAACGATAGAAAGCTGTGGCCGGCGACATCCCAACAAGCAGACAGACAGAGGGGGACTCATGTCCCCCTTGAGCACCCACAGTCCGTGGTGACGGTAGCTACCGATCCCTCATACAGCACAGAGGGGGGAAGAGGTCAAACACATGCAAACGCGCCAACCCAAAGATACAAATCTCTACCAGAAGCAGCGTATACCTGTACAAGTGTACGACAGCACCAAGAGCCAATCTTCCTTTCTGAACAGCGCCAACAAATTTGTCTCCTCCTGGACTAGTTTTAAGACCCGAAAGAAAAGGAAGCCCTCTACCGAACACACGCCCCAACACCTACGAAACAAAACACAAAAACTTGAAGCTCCGTAGGCGCGCCTCTAGCCCTCCCCTTCATCGTCGTACCGTCAGGACGTCATTACTCCCATAAAGAGCCCCATAAGGCCCTCCGGGAAAAACACAACTCCATGGGGGGGCACCCACCTCCCAATGGAGGCAGCACTCGCACTTTACTGCAAACCCTCCCTCCCCCTCTGCCCCACACCCCACATCCTCCAAGTCCGCAATACCCCCCCTTAACCCCGGAGGTTCGGGCCACTTCTCATGACTGAGCTTAGCAGCGAGGTGAAGGGGAGGGACTTGAAACGTACGGAAGGCTTGTTTCACCCGCCGCCGCCGCCCCACTCAGTCCCGGGAGAGGAACAGACAGCCAGCCTCGTCTTAGGCCACCACGTGCACCACCTCCCCCTTAACCTCCCCCCCCTTCCCTTCACCCCACCCGTCTACCCCCACTAAGCCACCTTCATCCTCCCGTACCTTTCTCCGTACCCCCCGATTACGCACCGCCCCCTAAACCCTAAACCCGCCGCCAGCCAGTAAAACCCCCCGCTACCGCCGCCCTTGCTGTGACGCTGGCGTCGCCGGCAGCGGCGGCGCCGCCGGCGACTGCACCCGCTCGCACTGGTCCATCCTCTCCAGCTTCTCCCCCGACGCCGCCAGCCGCCTGGCCGCCCCCAGCCGGGCGAACAGCACCGGGCACTCGCCGTTCTCACAAAGCACCGGCCCCAGCAGGCCGCCGGAGTGGCAGCGCATGCAGGCGCTGAGGGCGGCGGCGAGGTGGAGCGAGGCGGCGTTGTCGTCACTCAGATGGCGGAGGTACGTTGCAGCCAGGCTGCGTGGTGGGAGTTAAAGAGGTTGGCGGTTGGCGGGAGGCGGGAGGCGAGGGATTGGGCGTGTGTGTGTGTATGTGTGAGTGTGCGTCTGTGTGTGTGTATTTGTGAAATATGAAGTTCGACTCGCACTTCAGGGAGTTCTGTAATACCTTGGGTAGTCTTTTCCCAAACAGCGTGTACGGCAACGCCGCCACGCCGCCACGCATGGGAATGCTGCCGTTATAACACACACACCCTCTTCTCGTCCTCTCCCCCCCTTTTTGATCGCCACCACCATCACCAACGACATTTTCATCCCCACCCGCCCTCCCTTTGCCCTTTCGCTCTCCTCATCACCCTCCACCTCCACCACCGCTCCCTCACATACACAAACCCCTGCCACAGCTCACAAAGCTCCTGTGACTCGCACTCACGTGTCCGGCTCACGCAAACAGGACGAGCAGAGGCCGGGAGGTACGGCACACGTATCTCCATGCTCAGTCCGAGAACGCTGTTCCTGCTGCTGTAGCGGTAACGCCTGCATGCCGTACACATTTGCAGTCCAGGACATCTTCTGCCGGACTTGGAATGGTACGGTACGGTACGGTACGCCACAGGCACTCCTTTACCCCCACCCATCCGACACCGCCCTAACCCACCACCATGTTTTCCCCCCACCCCCACCCCCACCCGCTCTTTCACGCCGCGCAGCGTGACCCGGTTCTGGAGGTTGTTATCTGTCCAGGTCCGGAAATTTCGATGATTGCTTTGTTAATTAAGATTATAATAGTTGTTTTTGACCGCCTTTTGTGTGTCCTCAATGTGGACCCCCCTTCCCCTCCCCACACACGCTCATACATACACGCATACGCGCATACACGCACACGCCTATATACACATTCAAGCACATACCTACATACATACACGCGTACACGCACCTGCTTACACGCCAGGCACTGGGCCGACTGTCGGAAGAACGCCGACATCCCGAACTGCTGTCCACCGGGCCCCCCTCCCCCTCCACCACCACCTCCACGTCCTCCGCGTGACTGCCATTAAGGCGCCCAAGTCCCCGGCAGCGACGGCAGAGGCGTGGGTGTGTGGTGTGTATGGGGTGGAGGACAGACGGACAGACGGACGTCACATATGGGTGTGTGCATATAGCCTATACGATATAGGTATATATAAGATCACATATAAGCGTATGATACGTGTATATGTATGTATATCTATATACACTTATATCACCAGTGTCTGGCTAATAGATAACAGTGTGTGTGTGTCTCCCGGGCCCTCGGGCCCCTCATCATCCGGGCTCCGGGTATGTATGTCCGGGCCCCCCCAGGTAACACCTTTGGTGGGGGGTAACGCGGTGATCCCGGAAGGTGTTAAGACACACACACACACACATACATACACATACACATACATACATACACACACATTGAGACACAAGCCCATGCAGGTGTCATGGCGGCGTGACAGACGTACAGACACGCTCTCTCACCTTTTTCGCGCTCGGGGGAGATCGAGGCGTCATAGACAGCCCAAACCCTCCGCCGCCGCCGCTGCCGCCTCCGGGAATGTGGCGGCGGGTCCCGGCGGGGGGAGTTCCCGGACCCGCAAGCAAACCACTCGCCGACACGGCGGCAGCGCCGGTGACGGCGCCGCCGCTGCTGCTTAGGTCTCCTGCCGTGGTGTGGGTTGCTGAGCTGCTGCTGGTCGCGGTCTCGGCGGTGGTGGTGAGCGGGGACGTGTCCACCACCCGAACCAGTGTGTGTGGGCCGCTGAGGAGACCCTGGAGAGATGGGATGTATGTATGTATATATGTATGCATGTATGTGTGTATCTATGTGTGTGGCAGGGGGATATATCTTCGCCCGTGGCAGCTACCCGGCGGAACCCTGCCTTCCCCGGTATTTCGGGGCACCCACATCCAGTCACCCTAGTCTTCTTCTCAGTGGATCGCTCAGGTTCCGCATCCACCACCAGCATCCAACGGAATCTGCCGGGTCGACAACGGCCCCTGGTCGGCTCGCAGGTTTACTCCATTCCAGGTCACCACCGTCTGTCAACTAGGGACGCTTTACCTTCCACCATCGGAAAGGTTTTCGACCTTGATAGGTCTCGATCCCGGGATCTCCCGGGGGCATATGGTCCGTGCCTTACCAGTATGCCTAACTTAAGCCGTTGTATGCATGTAAGTGTGTATAAGCGATGGGAGGAAGTTAAACGCAAGTGATGATCCAAAATCCAAATGGATTCAACAACGGCATCCGCATTCGTGTCGTGCCAAGTAAGAAA